TTTTCTGTATTTAATAAAATCACTTTTTACTTAGTAATTAACTCAGAGTATGTATTAATACCTGGGGGAGCAAACAACTGTGCATATCTCTCTATCAGTGTTATAGAGGACGAACAATTTATGAGTTTACCCCACCTAAGCTTTATGCAGGGTAAAACGGATTTATTTGGGTTTAGACCCCATTGGGAGTTGGGCATCCGAGTGTTAAAGACAAGCACACTTCTGTGAGCTGTTTTCAGGTAAACCTGCAGCTTTGGGGCGAGTAATTCAGACCCTGGGTCTGTGTTGGAGCAGACGGGAGTGTCTGGCTCAGCAAGACAGGGTGCTGGAGTCCTGAGCTGGCAGGGAAAACTGGAGCAGAGGTAGCCTTAGCACATCAGTTGGCAGCTCTCAGGGGGGTTTCTGTGATCCAACCCTTCACAGAAGGGACCTCAGGGGTCATCTAGTCCAACCCCCTGCTCAAAGCAGGACCAATCACCAGACAGATTTTTACCCCAGATCCCTAAATGACCCGCTCAAGGATTGAACTCACAACCCTGGGTTTAGCAGGCCAATGCTCAAACCACTGAGCTATCCCTCAGTACTGCCCCTTTGACAGGAATTCCTGCCCAGCTGGTCCCCTCTGTGCAGGGCAGCACTAGTCTGAGACTCCCGCGCGTCCCTATAGGGCTGCCCAAAGTGCTATTCAAAGCCCCTCAACCCCTCCCTGAGGGCAGAAATGCAGGATTTTCAGCCCTATGCTCCCTGGGCTCTTAGATGAGCTGGGTTTGGGAGCCTGGCGCACGAGGAGGGACGGAAAGAGACCAAATCCCAACGTTGCCTTGGTGTCGGCCTGCATAACAGATGAGGGAGTAGCTCAGGTCGGCCCAGTATTTGTCCTGCACACAAAAGACCATTTACCCTGCTCCCCATTCAGGGCCCGAGTCTACCGGGCGCTACAGGCATTCCACACTTCACAATCCCATGGGGTAGCCAGTTCTCCACACACAGGAGACACAGAGCCAGCATGTCTTTGTAGGTAAAGGTCGCCGGCCGAGATCGTGAGGGGAGAGCGCTACGTGAAGGAAGGCCAGCATGGCGATAAAGCAGCACGCTCAGTAGCAGAGACCTGGGCATACAGCACATACATGGGCATTCTGCATGCAAAGACGGAAAGTGGGAGGCTGGCCTCTCTACAAGGGCATGGGTGAGGTAGCTGCGTGCCTGGCGTGGGATGTACAATCTTACCGCTGCATTCCTTCGCCCTCTGGAATTCGGTCAGGGTTCTTTGCTTGGAAGATCGTAGACCTCGGAAGGTAACACACACTCAAACCGCTGACATGCCTGCAACCACGAGAGAGACAAAGCAGGTAAAGCAATGTCTGTTATGAATCAACTTGCGTTGGAGAAAAGGGCAGCTTTTGAGCTTCAGGTAGCTCTCCTTCAGGTCTCGGGAAGGTAGCCAGTGTTCAAGCTAAAAACATGGTGGGATAGCGGTCTCCTACAGCATATCTGAACCACTTATGCTTAACAAGCTGTCCCACCATGTATTTAACTTGGACACTCTGGTCACCTTCCCCAGACATGAAGAAGACTCTGAAGCTCCAAAGATTGTCCCTTCCACCAACAGAAGTTGTCCCAAGAAGAGGTATCACCTCCCCCACCTTGTCTCTTTAATATCCTGGAACCAACACGGCTACAACAACCCTGCAATTAACCATGTCACCCCCTTAGCTGTGTGCGGGAATTTCCTTTGTTTCCCCACACTCTGTTGGAGAACAGCCCAATTCCTGTAACCCGCCCTAGGAGGCCCACAAGAGGGAGGGCCTGCTCTAGTGCACCATAGGGAGCATGAGCGGGGGAGAAATGAGTTGATTAATGCAAAGATACCAAGCTGTTGGGATAACATGCAACAGTGGGAACCATTTTATACATTTCCACAAACGTGGTCACCTGCAGGCTGGCATTTGGGGGATAGAAAAGGAAAGGACGTAGGGATATTCCAGCCACAGATGAAGATTTCTTCAAATGCCTTGAAGAGGAAAGTGTTCTCTAAAGCAGCTCGCTGGTTCATCTAATTGCAGCGTACAGGAATTAGGCAGACTGTTTTACAGCAGTTTGTGAGCCATCTAGTGGAGCTCACTGTGTTCTTTGCTTTAGATTTGAGCTTGGCATTAAGTGTTAATTTCTGTTAGTCTCAAAGGTGCCACAGGACCCTCTGTTGCTTTTTACAGATTCAGACTAACACGGCTACCCCTCTGATACTTGAAGCCTCAAACATTAAGCCAGAGCATTAAGCTAGGTCTTGGATGTTTGTCTGTAGGTAATGAAAATGGTTATTTGGGAGCCTGCTGTGTCCAATTTCTTCATTTTTGTTGTGTTCAGAGAAAAAGACAAGACTAATCATAACAAATATTTTATATCTGTGACAATTAAACACATTTTGATATATTTAGACATTTTTCCTGTTCTTAATCATTCTAAGAACAAGCCTGGCTTGCTATAGAGAGGCTTGGCAGAAACTGACTTTTTTCCCCCACTTACAATTTCAACAGATAATATCAATGTTGATTTTTAAGCATTGTTTTAGATTTCTATCTATTTAAATTCTCCTGGTTGTGGGAAATTACTGGGGTGGGGAAGGTCAGACACTTATTTAATGACACCAGATGTTGAGATTCAGAAAGTTAAAGCTATATAAACCGTTAAACCACAAATTGTCAATCTCACCTGTGAAAATACACAAAGTAAATATCCTTAAATCAACAAACCCTACCTGTTTTTACAATTCATTCGCTAGTCCATTTGTGACAAGCCTAAATCACTGGATTTGGTCTCTAAGTTCTCGAAAAGCATTTTTCTTACGTTGCCTAGCTGTACATTGAATTATTGATGGAAATATTTTTTCAGTGTGTGTGTTAAAATCGACATTTACTGCCTGGCCATAGACGGTCTCTATCATTTCGGCGAAAGGGTTACAGCTGGGTTTGCCACCAATTGGCTGGCTGCTGGTTGTCGTTGACTGTAGGTTCCCTAACAAAGAAAACGAAAGAGAAAGTGGGGACAACACACCGGATCCAAGAAAAGCATCCAGCGGAGAGAAGCGGGGCAGTGAGCGCGTGGACTAGGAGCCCGGACTCCTGGGTTCCGACTGGGACATCTAGGAAATGGGGGTGACACTTTTACCCATATCCCGGCAGGCTTCAATCGCTTCCTGACTGCAAAGATCCCCGGCCAAAGGCCCGTCCCGAAGGCTGGGTACAGGCGCGACCCCCAGTAGCCCGGGCTGGGGGCGATTGCAGACGCTGCTCCTATTTGCACGCATTTACCTTTCAGTCAGGCCGGCGGGGGCCAGATCGCGCGGAGTTTGCGGCTTTTCCGGGCCCTCCGCCTCTCGCATCCTGGCGGCGGGGGAGCGGGGCGCTCACTGGGGCCGGGAGGCTGGGTCCCCTCCGCCGCCGGCAGCAGCAGGCAGGGGGTGCGCGGCGCTGGACATGGCCGAGGGGGAGCGGGGAGCGCAGCGCAGGCCGGGGGCAGGTTACAACAGCTGCAAAAAACCCGCTCGCGGGCCGCGGCCGCTGCAGCTGGGGAGGGGGGAGGCGCCTCTGGTGACCCCGGAAGGAAACGGCCGCGGAGCCTGTCCGAGTGGGCGGGGCCAGGCTGCGCCAGCCGTGCCCGGGGGGGGGCGGCCATTGCTGTGTGGGGATGGAGCCGGGTTGCGTTTACACGCGGTGCCCCGGGATCCCCGCGCGGGGCCGCGGGCGCTAATGGCAAGAGTTCTGTGAGGCAGATGGGTGGGGAGAGCTTTGCTCGGCCACACTCGCTGGGCGAGAGACACCGTGTCCTTGCCCAGGGCTGGCCGGGCGGGGCCCCGGGGGGAGAGGTCCCATCCTCCAGGGCTCAGCCCTGGGGCTGGGCTGGTCTGAAAAGCCATAGCCCCGAGTCGCAGAGCAGCATGGAGACCCTCGTGTGCCAGCACCATCTCCCCCAACAGCTGACCGAGCACAGCTAGCTGGTTGCAGGGCTGTGTCACGTCCCTAAGGGTAGGAATACTTGTGGCACCTTAGAGACTAACAAATTTATTAGAGCATAAGCTTTCGTGGACTACAGCCCACTTCTTCGGATGCATAGAATGGAACATATATTGAGGAGATATATATACACACACAGACAGAGAGCATGAACAGGTGGGAGTTGTCTTACCAACTCTGAGAGGCCAATTAATTAAGAGAAAAAAACTTTTGAAGTGGTAATCAAGCTAGCCCAGTACAGACAGTTTGATAATAAGTGTGAGAGTACTTACAAGGGGAGATAGAGTCTGTTACTCTGAAACCTGTCCCTAAGGGTGTGTCTACACGGCTCCAGCACGGGGGGGGGGAG